TAACTGGGGCCTTGCTGGCCTTGGGAAGACAGCAGGTGTGGGGCACGTGGTGGCCGCCCCGTGACCACCCTGCTTCCCTCCCACTCTTCCCCACCCAATGCCGCCAGGAGAATCCTGCTGAACTACGCAGTGTACAACCCAGCCGTTGGCTACTCCCAGGGCATGTCCGACTTGGTGGCACCCATCCTGGCCGAGGTCCTGGACGAGGCGGACACCTTCTGGTGCTTCGTCGGGCTGATGCAGAATACCATTTTCGTCAGCTCACCCCGGGACGAGGACATGGAGAAGCAGCTGGTGAGGTTTCGGGGGTGTGCATGTGGGGAGCCATGGGACACTCCTGCCACCAGGCCTGGCAGCACTGTGTGACTTTGCTGGCAGGAAGCATGGTCACCGGGAGAGCCAGGTGGGCGGGAGGGGTGGCATATGGGCAGTTGAGTGCTAGGTATGTGGGCACAGCTGGCCTCTCTGGGAGGGATGCTGCTCCCAGGTCTTGGGGTACATGCCCACCCCAGGCTGCCCAGTGCCCAAGGGCTGTGCTGTGCAGGGCTCCCCTTGGCTGGCTGCCGCCTCCCCGCACCCACACCCAAGCACCCACATCCCTGCACCCACACCCCAGCACCCACACCCCAGCACCCCATCACGCAGCCCGGGGCTGGAACAGTGCCTCAGCACTGGCAGGGAGGCTCCCTGCAGGGGTCACTCAGCCAGGGCTCCCCAGTGGGCACAGCACTGGGAGGCTGGTCTCGCTGCCCTCCCTCGGAGGACTCAGGCACCCCTCCCCTCGTGGACCCTGTGGGCATCAGCCCTGCCTGGCCCAGGCCGTCTCAACCAGGCAGTGCCGAGGCTGGCAAAGCTGACAGAGCTGGGTGCGGGGCTGGGAGGTGGGGAGGGCCGGTATGTCGCCCAGGACCGAGTCCACACACCTCTTCCCCATCCACATGCACATCAGGTGCCAGGCACTGGCATGTCGCAGCCTCTGTGCTGGGCAAGTGCCTCAGTGGGAGCGGATGGCACAAGGATGGGGAACCAGTGCAGAGAGCAATGCAGAAAGGGCCCCGTGACAGAGTTAGGGCGATGAGGGCCACCCCAGTGTAGTCTGGGGAGGGGAGGGAGCTGGGCCTGCACATGTGCCTGGCAGGAGCCCTGCATGGCCAGGCTGTGTTGGCCCAGGTGGTCACGTGGGTCAGGGTGGAGTGGACCAAGGCTTGGAATGCCAGGGCCAAGGAGATGTCCCTTAGACTAACATCCGGGGGCACTGGGGGCTTTGGGTGACAGCACTCACAACAGGTGGACGAGGGGCAGGGGGTGGTGGCTGGAAGGTGGCGGCCACCAGAGCAGCAGGGCCTGGGGTGACCGCCTGTGTGACCCCAGGATGGAGAAACTGACCTTGCTGA